GTTTCTGTGCCATTCCAATTGAGTTAATTGTGTATGTGAGTTCTATGAGTTCTCATTTGAATGCATACTAGAGCCTTAGTCGATGGAAAGTACATTGATATGTAAGGACAAGTTACTAAACTACTTGGAAGACATGGTGGGCACTCGTGTTACCATAGGGCAAGAAATCAAGATTAAGAAAGTTCAGTCCATATGATTTGGATTTGTCGCAACCTTGGTTTTGGCAAATTCACATGGATAGGAACTCATACACCATAAAATCTAAGTGTCATAAGATTCCCTCCTTCATGAAAATGACTGTGAGAGAAATGCTTTCACTAAGAGAGATTTTAAGAAGATAGCAATTGTGAAAATTGTATTCTCAAATTCGATTATGGTTACGGCATCTCTTTCCATAGTTCGAATTATGAGATTTGGCAATTAGTTTGAACATTTGGAACTTAGTAACATAAGTTCTAAATTGTTTAAGCACACAAATGAGCTATCTAAGGTGAAGGTGTATAAGTTTAAGAAGCTTAGATAAAGGCTTATCGAAGCATCTGGTATTAGAAATATGAATTTCAGAAATTCAATAGGCATTGTTTTCTGGAAGTTCATTTGTTTTCTGAATACATGTCAAAGCTAGTGGGAGCATAAGTGTTATGCTTATATGATAATAATCATCATGATAGTGGGAGCATAAGTGTTATGCTTGTATGATTATTATGGCGAGTATTGCAAGTTAGCAATATTAATTATAGAAAAACAAAGATTCATTTGCAAAGTTGCATGGGTTGAAAAGTTGTTTTAATATAATTAAGCGAGAGAATATTATACTTCGTTTCAAAATCTAAAGCTTAGATTGAGAAATTTTAATATTTTTCAGTCAAAGGATACATTGTGTGTTCTTAAAATTCGATTATGATTACGGCATCCCTCTTCATAGTTCGAATTGTGAGAACATGACACATAAAATATTATGGCAAAAGATTGGTAAAGTATCATATCTTTATGTAAGACATTATGCATCGTGTCCCATACGCTTCGGGTATAGGATCGATTGCAAATGTTATAATATTTGACCATTCTAAAATTTTCTAAATGTCTAGCGCATTAAGAGGGAAACAGGACTAGAATTGGTTTTGACTAAAATTATTAAACAACTATCAAAGGACGATCCAAAGTTCGCTGAGGATTGGTCGCTTGTGAGTAGTTGGAAGTATGGTATTGGATGGACCATATCGACATTATTATGAATAGATAAGATTCTATTAAGAATGAGTTGTCATATGACAAATGTGGAAATGTTTCCATATTGGGAGTTGGATATTAAGAATCTATGTCTAGATTAGAAACTTTTATGCAAGAAGGATGTTCAAAGGAATGTACTTTGAATGTGAGACTTCACGTCTATAGAATTGTCTTGTAACAATTTCTAAGAAAGTACTTTGTAATTTCATTAGCCAAGTCTTGGTTACTTTTGTGCTATGACTTTACGAAAGGATCGTTGCGTAAAATGTTAGAATCTAGCATATTCTAGTAGTGGAAGAACCTTGTGTTCTTACACTAATAATGGGGATTGAGGAATTGTGAAATGAGAATCATTGGAAAAGTTTTCAGTTGTTCTATTTCACAAAGCATGGACCATAGGAAACAAAGTGTGCATGCTTAGAGCATGAGACAGTTGTCGTTGTAATTCAAGTAATGAGTTGATTATCCGAAACATTAAATGATAAATAATAAGTAATCAATATGGTGGATCAATAGAAGTGTTTTATTTACTCTCACAAGTTTGGGGCCATATAGGATTAAGTATTATTGTTATGTTTCAGTTTGCATGTTTTGACTTCCAGAATAACTAGGTTATTCAAACATCCACAGTCGGTCATACGTTGGGAGTAGGTATGAATAAAGACTGTCATGAATCTGTCTGTAGATTGTCTGAAGTGTTTAGACATGGCACAAGTTTGTTGCAGAGTTCATGAATGCTTTGATAAGATTAGAGTATTGGATTAAACCCACGCTCACTTGGATCACTTCATGGTTTTATCATGAGTGATTAGTGAGACGATAATATTGTATATTCTTGAAACCGAGACATGTGAGTTGTTATTTGTTGGTCGGTTGCACATTGATAATAAGTAAACGCACCAGTAACTTGGTGTTATAAAACTTATTGTTGTGTGTGATTCGATCAGTAAATGCAAGCGAGCATATGAGTCGAAGTTTATCCATTCCTTTTACCCAAAGTAGGATAAAAGCGATATATGTGGGCCTCTCGATGATTTAATGATGACACCTAAGCGCTTGGCCAAGCCGGGACTAAGTTGATGTGTTCAATTGTAGTCTGTTGTCAGTCGTCATAAATCGGAAGTCGGGAAACAGTATAGAGAGAATGATTGAAATTCATGTCTTATGTCTATACGATATCTTGAGAATGGAGGAATATATAATCCCTTATCTAGAGGACACGCTATCTGATAAGATCAGAGTTGACAGCGGCTTTTGAAAGCTACGATTGCTGATCAGGTTCTGAAGTCATACGGAAAATAGTTATTAGACTTATCCAAGTGGGAGACTGTTGGATTAGTGTCTAAGTCCATAACTATTTTGGTATGTACTTGACCCGATTATGAGCATGGTCCTTTTGGGTTGCCTTCACCATAGCAATATGTAGGATGATTTAAGGAGAGAAAGGTTTAAATATGATTTATTAATATATTATGAGAATAATATATTAAAGGAGAAATCATATTGTTTAATTAATATTAGTCAAGAATTAATTGTTAATTAATTTTGTGGCTAAAAGAGATTAATTAAACTTAGGGGACTGGACTGCAATTATTGGATAATTGAGTTATTGGGCTAAGGAATGCTAAAGGAACAAGGGGTGAACGAAATTGATGGAAGCCCATCATATTTTCGTCCATGGCCTTATCCAGAAGGTTCCATGGGCTGCTTAGAGTTTAAGTTGTCCATTAGGGTTTTGACTGAAACCCTAGCAGCCCACACAAGTATATAAAGGACCCCTTAGGCCCCAAAAACGTGAACAACTAATTCTCTAGGGTTTCCAGCCATTTTTGGTGCCTCCCCTCTCTTCCCTCTTCATCCATGTTGCTTAGTGGTGTTTGTGACTCCATTAGAGGTGCAGCATTTGAGGCACTAAGCTTTTGAAGCCAATTCAAGCAAGGGATTGATTGTTATTACTATATAACAATTAAAGGTAATTCTATAAACCCTAATTCAGTTCATAATATGTTAGATCTAAGTTTATTAGTCTTGGATTCAAAGCATGTACAATAGAGAAACCTAGATCCAAGCATTAGGGTTTTGTATGAGCACATAGGATTGTTATTATGCTTAAAACCCATCAACATCTCTATCAATTGTGCTCGAAAGTGAGCAACAACCTCCTCCTAAAGGATCTCCTTAATCCTATCCTGGGACACTTCTGGCCCATCCTAGCTACTAGCTCCCGTTCCAATCTGGATCCTGCCTAAAATTGTCTCGTCATTACCATACTAAAAATAAACTAGGGATATATCAGATAAAACACATATCATACTAGGGTACCAACTCCTAACAAGCCCTAGGTGTCATGATTTCACTGCTACACGTATGGGTCCTATGCTTTCAGTAGTACGGGACCATACTACCTTCCATACCTCCATGTATTTGTCTCAAGGATCATCACAACAACCCCAAAATACACACTAGAATATGCATACACCCAATCCTCACTCCCTAGAGGAATGCTAAACATCATGAAACTGGCTGGCTGACCCCACATAACTCGTCCATGAAACTTCCATCAACCCTGCAGCACCCGTGTAAAATATTTGATCCTACCCTAAGCCCTTCATCAAACAAGAACATGAAATAAGTTCACACCAAACATTCTCAGGCTATAGAATCTTAGTTATGTACAACTATAATGCATACACAAAGCAACTACAATAATGATCAATTCCATATAAAGAAGAACCCTAGGCTATCAGGCATCATAAAATCAGACAATTCTATCATGTAATTCCTGAAGATCCCTAGCCTATCATTAACATGTTGTTCTAACATATCACACGATCAAATAACAGTATGGTAATTTGGGGTCTACTTACTGGCTCCGACTGATCGTACACATTGCATCCTCTTTGATTATTTTGAAAACAATTTGAAAATTTTTATTTTCTTTTAAAAAAAATCTTTTTCCTTAGCTTAAGACTGGATTTACATGAGTGTCCCTCCAATTCACTCAAACCAAGGCTCTGATACCAACTTGTAACATCCATAATAATCATGAAAATTTTAAACTTTTTAAATACAACCCAAATCCATAAAGTGTTTACAAAATAGTTTTCAAAACATTTCCGACATCAGAGTTTTTCAAAATCATAAAGTATAACAAGAGGATATGTACGATCATGCATTCGCCATCCCGCAGTCATCCAAAGTATCTGAAACAGAACCTAAAACTATAATCCAATGCTTAGTGAGTTCCCCTAAAGTACAAACACACAAACAAATACCATATACAATAACAACATGCAATGTGTCCACGACTAAAAGACTGATTACCCCTGAGCCTACAACATAATTGTTCATTTTGAAATTAATTGCTATAAAAGGACAGAAAAAAGGGAAAATTGGAATTTTAGGTCATTCCGCGGAGGGTATAGGTAACTCCGCATAGACCCTATGCGAGCGACCTATCCCCTCTGCGGAATGGATCTTCATCATTTCAATTAAATATTAGGTCGTTTCGCAGAGGGCATAGGTCACTCTGCGGAGCGCCCTCTACGGGATGACATATCCCCTCCGCGGAATGTATCTTCACCATTACAATTCCATTTGCGCCTATTTGTAGGTTAGTTCAACCATTTCAATTCCATTTGCGCCTATTTGCAAGTTATGAACTGCATATTCATACCATTTTAATCCTAAATCTAAGCAATACGAAAAGGGAAACATTAATCTAAAGAACGTGAAAACGGATTACCTGGGAGTCGTATCCATCGGCGAAAATGTTGGGGAAATGCCGATCCATTTGCTGTCATCGGAAAATGTTGTCCGACGGAGGGTTTCAGTCGATGTCGGAAGAAAGGGCTGCTGACGAGGGTTGTTGTCGATTTCGATGCGAAAACGCAGAAAAGCAGATTGAAGTCAAGGGACTAGACTGGGGACCAAAGTGGAGACCCGATTTTACAATGAGAGGAGGGGCAAATTTACAAAAATACTTTGATTTCGCGGAGCATTCGTCAGTCCTCGGAGCCCATAGAGGGGAGCTCCGCCAAACGTATGTAAATTTTTGTTTTTTGTGACTAAATTTTGAAAAAAAAACGAAAAAAAATATCTATATAATGTATTTTCCTTTAAAAATAATAGAGTAAGTTACACGAATGGTCCCTATGGTTTAGGATAATTTGTGCGTTTGGTCCATAACTTATTTTTTTAATATGGAAGATCCTTTCTATTTATTTTTGTTACGCGTTTGGTCCCTGTCTTACCTAAAAAGACTATTTTTCACTCGATTTGTTAATTTATTTAAATAAACACAATGCTAACCCCAACCCCTTCACCTCATCTTACCTATCTCATCATTTTTCTCTATTTAAATTATAGTCTTTTTAGGTAAGATAGGGACCAAACGCGTAACAAAAACAAGCAGTAGGAACCAAGCGCGTAACAAAAACAAATAGTAGGGACCTTCCGAGTTCAAAAAATAAGTTAGGGACCAAACGTGAAAATTATCTCAAACCATAGGGACCATTCGTGTAATTTACTCAAAATAATATCACCAGTCAAGAATTGCCGCGTACGCGTCACCAGTCAAGAATTTCTGACGGCAAGTGGAGCCACCACAATGGTCACCATTGGCCATGGGAATGGTCTTTGGCTCAAGGGAGTGGTAGACTCTACTTCATCTTCAGCTTTGAGACCTCGACTCCCTTGGTCTTATACACTTGGTCTTATGCACTTACATCGCTTTTTATTTTCTTTCTCTTTTCTTCACACTGCCGCCTCCTCGCTCCAAATCCTTTGACCGGTTCCAAGAAGCCTCCATCGCCACCCTCTTTCTTCCCCATAGCCACTGCCGCCGCCCCCCTCCTTCCCCGCAGTAACGGTAAGTATTCTGATGGTTTTAACTCATCGATTTCAGTGTTTTGCGTGATCGATTTCTGGAATTTCTAATATTTTGCTTTTTGGTCAATAATTGAAGTGAATTTCCATTTTTTTAGACAATTTCTGATCTTTTGCTTTTGATCGATTTCCACAGTTTCTATTTTTTAGGTAACTGAAGGCAATTTCTGATCATGTCAACCTGACTCGTGAAGCCAGAGGAAGAACAAAAAGGAGAGATGATTTGATCTTTATAAGAGATTTTGTTTTAAAGTCAAACGCTTAGTTTTGATGTGGATGCAAAAGCTTTTTAATAATCAATTGCTGATTACAAAAACTTTGTACTAATAGATACTACAAATGGAATGAAGTTTGCTCTAGAGTTTGCCGAGAAATCCATACACACAAAAAAAAAAACATTTCTAGTTGTTTTGATGTTCAAAATCAAGCTATAGCTTTTATTTTTGAAAAAAGGAAGGGGTAGTTTTTAGGGTAAAGGGTCAGTGTTCACTAACAATGAGTTCTGTTATTTATTCACTGCTGGAGATGACCAGTAACAATGACCCTATGTATTCTTTTCCTTCCTCTAACCAATACCCTTACACTAACCCTATTACTCCTCCAACGTATCCTTCAAATTACCAGTACCCATCTGGAGCATACTACCTACCACCTCCCCGAACTGCAGTACCCTTTCCTGCACCATATGAACGGCACCACGTCATGGGTATGGACCCTTCAGCACGGGCATTCGTTGGTGCTTGGTATCCTTCTTGCGGGTATTGTGCGCCCATAATGGAGATCGATGTTCATATCAAGAAAGAAACCTTGAAGATCGTGCCCGATCAAGAAGATCCTGAAAAATTTCTTGTTGAATTCACTTTTGATGCCTTTGTTGCTTGCAGGTAAGATCTTTCTTCTTATATATGTATAAACCTTGAAGATCATTGCAATTTTTTTTTTTTGTAAACATCTTTCCGGTTATGAACCTTGTAGATATTTACTCTGTTTTATGTAGTGTGAACCGACTGATAATATATGTGTATGATAATCGGTTTTATGTTGTTCTCCTCGCAGCATTACCCTCTCTGTCTTTGAAGAATTAGGGGAGGACATGAGTCCAACAATAGAAGACCTGCTTCCATCAATTACAGTGGATTTCCCACAAGGTTTTGGCCAGAAATTCAGACAAAAGTCCGGGACTGGAATTGACCTTAGACTATATCGGGTAAATGATTACACAGAGGTGTACCATTTACAAATTAAGGCACAAGAAAGTCGATGCATATCAGAAGATGGAAGTATTATTAGTGGAATTACTATTTCCCAATTTACTCTAGCAGAGTTTGAGAAGGAGAAGGATGAATGCCAGGTTAGGGTTACAAGCCCGTTCTTAAAGGTGAACAATGTGGAGTATGATATCGGTGGATGTGGTATTTATTTTTGGAATGATCCTGGTGAACAATATCGTAAAATTGGGAAGTTATTGGTTTCTAATATAAAAATTGGGATGGGGAGTAGTGGTACGATTGTATTTAAGGGAAGTTATGATGATAGGGAAGTTGCTGTGAAAAGGATTGTGAAGGAACATTATGATGTTGCAATGAACGAGATTGCAAATCTGAATGCATGTGATTGGCATCCTAATATTGTTAGGTATTATGGTGTGGAGAAGGATCAAGATTTTGTTTATGTTGCTCTTGAGAAGTGTGTATGTAGCTTACATGATTTGATATTGTCACATGGTAATTTGGGTGTGCAATTGGAACCCACAACAGATGTTTTTAAGGATTTGAAATTGTGGAAGCCTAATGGGTATCCTTCATCTACTTTGTTGAATTTAATGAGGTTAGACCTTTTTTTTTTTTTTTTTTCTTCCAGTTAAGTGATATCTGGTTAAATGATGATTAAAAGATATGTGATAAAATGATCGAAAACATGGGAAAATGGAAGGAAATAACTAAGGGGTGAATGCAAGAAATAGCGATGTACTTTTTTTTTTGTTATATTAGCTTACTTTCTTTTCTTTCTATTTCAACATTGTACTTTCGTTTTTTTCTTATTAGTACATTGTTCTTTAAAAGATTTACCCAGTTATAGTATTGTACTTTACATTTTCTTTATTAAGACATTGTTCTTTGAAAAAACTACTTTGTTGTAGCAGTGAAAATTGCTTTGTATTTAACATTGCTATAATTTGGTAAAATTTTCAAAAGTACAATGTTGTAATAGCATGAAACGAAAATAGGATGTTATATCAAACAAATAGATGAAAATACATTGCTATTTCGTGCATTTAATCCAAAGTAAATCAAACAATGGTCTAATCTGTTAAGTAAGTCTCATTTCCCTAAATCTCTATTAAGTCGTTCTTTCTCTATTAAGTAAAATAGACATACTCATATATGGATTAATTACCATATCAATCCATGCTCTCATCAAGTCAAATAGAACCAGTAACTTATCTTGTAGCCTTTTGGGGGCGATAGGTGCAACATTTCTAGAATTTATTTTAAACTCATTATATCTTTATGGCAAATGTGAATTTCAGGGACACGGTTAGAGGACTTGCCCATTTACATGAACTTAAAATCATTCATCGTGACTTAAAGCCCCAAAATGTCTTAATACAAAAATATACTTATATCTGTGCGATGGTCTCAGATATGGGTATTAGCAGACGCCTAGCTGCAGATAAATCTTCATTAACCAAAAGCACAACTGGTAAGTTTTCTTTATCATTATGATACATTACTTTTGCTAATATTTGAATGGAAAAAATAGAAACTGCAATATAGTTTCTAATTTATGGCATTATATTTTTTTTTCTTATTACAGTATTATACTTTCAGATTATTCTTTATTAAAGCATTGCACTTTAGAAAATTTACCCATACTAGTGATGAGATTGGAATTATTACGGCATGGCACAAATTAACATGTTTTTATGCTATGTCCTTCTCCACATAGGACGTACATGTGTGATATCATACCGACGTAGCAAAAAATTGTAATGTTTTATTATAAAAAACTGTCAATATTAGCCATGAAAGAAATATAGCTAAGATGAGAGAGAAAGGACAGGTTTTTGTAAAATTAAATATAAATTTCATTTGATATGTCGATTTCATCAACGATGATCTAAAACGCATCCTATATGGGCAGTTTCTTAACTATAAATTATATGACACGTCGGTAGTTGTGTAACATGTGGCACATCATCGTAATTGTAATCTCATTGCTGTGATGGGTATGTAAAGTGAAATTCTCTGATGAGGAATAATCAGTGTTGTAATGAGAAAAAATTGGAAAGTGTATTGTTATGTCTTGTATATCTTAAATAACTGTAGGGATCAAAAAAAAAATTTTAATCTTTATTTAATTTTCGTTTAGGGAGCACCGGGTGGAAAGCACCCGAACGACTACGGAATGAAAGACAAAGGCGTTCTGGGGATTTATTCAGTCTTGGGTGTCTGTTTTCCTTCTGTATCACTGGTGGTAAACACCCGTATGGTGATGCAATTGAGCGTGATATAAATATTTTGAACGGAAAGAGATATCTATCATCCGTAGAAAAGATTCCGGAAGCCTTTGATCTTATCTCTCGTCTCCTAGATCCTGATGCAGAATCCAGGTATGATTTTGTATTGAATTCTTTCCAACAAACATGATAAAGTATGGTGAACGTGGTTTAAATATCAAAAATACCATTTATTTTAATGATTGCATTAAAATAAACATGTTGACTGATTGCATGTTTTAATGATTTGAAATTGCATTTATTTTATTATTGGCAAAATACAGAAAAGTCATTTAAACTTTTTTATAACTATTTATTGTTGATAAACATGTTGACTGATTGCATGTTTTCTTTATCCTCGGTACTCTATTTTGATGTGGCAAAGCGCAAAATACTAAAACGTCACAACGTACTTTCATCATCTTATTGATTTAATCACTCAACTGAGTAAACTATTATATTATTTGAACGTTATTAAAACCATTTTTTTTCTTGTTACTCTGTTTTTGATATGGCAAAGGCCAAAATTTGAAAAAACACCATGCAGTTTAACCATTTTTAGCTACTGATCTATTATTATAGTTATCGTAAAGAATAAACAGTTCAGCAGCTAAACTTAAAAAATGGTAAAAGTACTTTTTGTGTTTCTGTATTTTGCCTCTTTTGAAAACCGCTGACTGGGAAAAATGATTAAAAAGGTATAATTAATGGCTTATTTACTACAAAAAATTGTCCAGCAGCTAAATCGATAAAATGGTGGCAGTACATTCGTTTTTTCTTCCTTTTGCCTTTTTACAATACCAGTAATCAAGAGAAATGTTTTTTTTAAATGGTCAAACTGTATAGTTTTTTAATTACCACAGAAACTAGTTAATTCACCAAATCGATTCAGCTTTTTCTGTATTTTCGCTTTTTCTAAAACCCGGTAAACACAAAAAATGAACTTTATGAAAGGTCAAAAAATGTACAGCGATTTGATTACTACATATGATTTATTAAAGGACCAAATCAATTAAATGGTGAAAATATGTTTGGTTTTCCTATATTTTGCCTTTCTTCAAGACCAGGTACCCTGAAAATGTGCTTTTTTGAATAGTCAGATGAAGTATAATGGTTTAATCACTAGAGAAACCTGTTAAGTAACTAAATTGATGAAATCGCTGAAGTCCATTGTGCTTTTCTGTATTTTACTCTTTCGTTTTCAAGAGATTACACATGTGCGTTTTTTCTTATTCAGGCCAAAAGCCACAGAAGTATACAACCACCCTCTATTCTGGGACCCTGAAAAACGTATCTCCTTCCTTCGTGACTCAAGTGACCACGTAGAACTAGAAGACCCTGGTTCTAATCTCCTAAAATCACTCAAACACATCAAGCATTACAAGGACTGGAACCAAAAATTAGACAAAACACTCTTCACAGACATCGAGCGTTGGAGAGTGTACAACTATAACAACGTACGTTGTTTATTACGAGCCATAAGAAACATATATGGTCACTATGGAAATCTCTCAAAAGAGTCGCAAAGTTTGTTTAGGAAGGACCCCACAGAAATCGATGGATATTTTAGCAGCCTGTTTCCAAAACTTGTTATGGATGTGTATAAAGTTTTGAAAAAGAATGGTGTGGAAGGTGAGATTCATGATAAGTATTATAAACAATATCAGTTTTAAGTTTTATATTTGCGGAAAATGTCAATGTACTTTATATCCTGCCCTTAGGCTAAATGTTGTAGATAGCAATGTATTTTTATTAATTTGTGTATTGTAACATTGTAATTCTTATTTCTTTATGTTACTTTCATTTTTTTAGTAAGGCTTTGTATTTGAAATGTATCCAATATTAGCATTCTACTTTTGTTTTTTATTAGGACATTATATATTGAGTATTCTACCTAATTGTAACAAGCAAATCCATTTTGTATTTAAATCAGTTGCTATATTTTTGCTAGATTGATATAATACAATGTTTTATTTTATATTTGAATCGGTTGCTATATTTGGGCTATGTATCTTGTTTGTTTATTGCTATTATCAACAAATATGGAAGTACACTGCTATTAGGGATTAAAAGTTGTAAGTAAGTTGCTATTATGAGTATAAGAATGTAAATATGCTGATATTACAAGTTACATATTGCTAATATCCAAAAGAAAATGCTATTACATTGCTATTATAGGTAAAAAAATGTAAATATATTGTTATTTTGAATAGATAATAGGCTTTTGCCATAAAAGTCCTTAAGTTTGTTAGTTTTATGCGGTTTTTCCCTGTAAAGATTTTGTGTGGTACTGCCTAACATTTGGGTCGTTTCTCTCACATTAGCCATTTAGCGGATCAAGGAACAGTCATTTGGCAACACTCCCTCTCATTAGAAATGAGACTATAAAAAAGGGTCCCTTGTTGGGTTTTATTCAAAAATACTCTAATTATAGTGACATAATTAACAGCAAAAGCATTTTTATTTAAATAAATTAAAACCATTTTAACCCACCAATGATCTTTTGCAAGATTTAGAAAGATAAAGACAAAAAAAGAAAGAAAAGTGTTACAACCTTTGAAGACTTTGATTCTCATGGGAGATTGGAGTTGATGAAGTGTGGCATGAAACTTCAAGGTAAAGTTATCCATAAATATCCACCAACAATAAATCAACTTAATAAGATGCTAGTCTTCTTCTTGTAATAAAAGAATTTCTTAAGTTCTTAAGACAAAGAAACTAGTTTTCCTTAAAAGAGAGTTTTCAAGTATCGTTTGTGTCTTTATGTTTTTGACACTTTAAGAGACAAAAACTAGAGAGAATATAAAGACGGGAAGCACCAAATTTCATGGGTTTTAGCTAGTAAAAGAAGAGATACATGCATGCATTTTAATCATCTTAATCCAAGTCCTTACTCATTGAGTATTGATGCTTTAATACACCATACATCTAACAAGAAAAGGCTACAAGTGTAATGTTGTGATATTTCTTCGAGCTTCATGTTGTTTGTGGGTTGCATCATCTGGTTAAACCTGAGAATCACAACAAAGAAAGAGCTGACGTTAGTCGTTGTCCGGGAGGGGGTCTCGAAACAAGACTCTGACGGTCTAGTTAGTAAGTGTATGGGGGAATTAGGGTTTTGTATTAGTTAGAGAGAGAGAGAGAGAGATCCCTTCTTCTGGAGAAGAAGGGTCCTTTATAACTATCGTCCAGGGAGCATGTCCTTGACAACACCTTTTGTCTTGTTTGGATTGTTAGGACGTGGAGGCGTCCTATTGGTGGGCCATGCACCAGTAGTGGTTATCTACCATTGATAGCAGAGTTATTGAGAAGCGGCGCTTTGAGCGCTACTATAATGCTTTGTATCGAATAAATTCCTAATTCAAGGCTGTTTCCCGAGGATCAGTTATCCTAACGCTTAGGTCCTTTGCAAAAGGTGAGATCTAGACTCACTTGGGTGCGAGTAATGTAATTGAGGTGATCTGGGTGTTTGGTTTTTGTTTTGCAGCCTGGTGGTATTTCGGTAAAGTGTCAGTTCGGGCTTTTATGGAAATTGGATTTTTGTTCGGAAGGTCTTTAGGCCGGTATGAGTTGATAGAAGTGTAGAGCTTCTCGTTACCTTTTCGTAGATATAAGGATCGCCAGAACGGACCTATAATGAAGAAGTTATGGCATTCGGAAGATTGGTGAAATTAGGGTTTCACCAGGTACGCGGGGCGTACACAAGTGTACGTATATCATACTAGTGTTGAGGCCAGTACGCGTGGCGTACAATGATGTACGATGGGCGTACTAAGCAATTGGATCTCGAGTGCTCTAAGGAGTACGTTGGGTGTAACGCCCGAGAGTTAGGATAAACGTTAAGGGGATAATAATAATAAATATTTATTTTATCAAATAATTAAAATCCTCAAATATGATAAATTTTCTTCGTATGCGTATGCGTTACAGGTTATATAAATACTTATTTATTATATACATGTTATGTGAACAAATATTATGGGTATATAATATTTGTATAAATCTTGTTATAAACTTATCGAAAAGTGATAAAATAACGTTTTTAAATAGAAGATTATTTAGGATAAAAAATCTTAACGAAAATTATAACGATTGTAAAATCTCAAACTATATAAGACGTATTTTGTTTAAATACATTTAAGGGTGAACCCAAGTAGTGAAACGATAATTTTTCCGTTATACCTGTTTTTCGATAATAATTGACCGAGTACTTTTTACGACGTTAGTTATTGATTATAAATTTGGATAAGATTTTATTATAAAGGGTATAATGATTTTATTAATAAATAGTTAAGGGGTTATAGTGTAATTTGAATGATATATTGTGTTAATACAAGAATAACTAAGGGGTCATAAATGTAACTATAATTGATTTGTGAATTGCAATCCAAAATACGATGTAAGAAATATAAGAAAGGTCATACATGTTTTATTAATTAAAAATAACATGTGTTGTTTAAATATATGATCGTACAACTTATTTAATAAAAAGGTATATGTGTTTTGTTTTTCTATTGACTCTTTATACGTGTCAATAATTTTAAATGAGTAAGCATTTTAAACCGTACGAAAGACAAGAGATAGGCGGTTTGAATTCTAGTATAAATAGCAACATCTAGAATTGATTTCATATATTAACGAAAGTCTTTCAAGAAATTATTTTTGAATATCACTTCACATATTAGATATTTTAGGCAATATAATAAGTTGACAAGCAATGTTGTGCTTGGACCCATAATAAGAGTTAGTTTTTACTAACTAGTTAGGTGAGTGCATAGTTACTTTCATCTTACACATAGATATGAAGTATTTAATATAAATTACGTGTTATGTATGCATATTATCTGTTTTATTGATATCTATGTTGGATGAACAAAATATACATGTTTTATTCGATTTAAAATATATACGTATTTTATACCTATAATTATGATGAGTAAAGATGGGTAGATTAGAGATAAGATGAGAGATGAAAGATGAGATGAATGATGACAGATGAGAGATGAAAGATGATATAGATCATGAGAGGTAAAAGATGATGAGAAGCGATGACCCAAGCTGTAACACTCTAAATTTTCAGACAAAATTTTTCATTTTAAAAGTTTCACACAAAACATAGTTTAAAATTTCTCATGCCAAAACTGAATTTTCCCAAACACAAAACATCTGAAATTGTTTTTCAAAAATCCCAGAATCCACATAAACACAAATCATCAAGTTGGTGTGTACAATCATGCCGACGCCTTCCCGCGATCCTGAGATGTACCTAAAACACATTTTACACAAAAACTGTAAGCATGAAGCTTAGTGAGTTCCCCAAAATACCACATATACAAATAATTAGCCTCTCATGGCTATGTATCGATAAGGACACTCCGGTCATAAGTCTCAAAGAGGACCCTCTGGTCTCATGTCTCGGTATGGACCCTTCGGTCATATGTCTTAGTGAAGACCCTCCGGTCTTAGGGCTCGGTATGGACCCTCCGGTCATGTGTGTCAGTGAAGACCCTACGGTCTCACGACTCGGTATGGACCCTCTGTTCATAACTCAATATATGTATAGGATAATGTAATAGCACAAATCACAAGTACAGAAAGCACAATAACACATATCTCAGTATAAGCAAATAGGACCCTCGGGTTAATAACATGAATAAGACCCTCCGGTTACACATAGATTACCACACATGTAAGTATAGTGAGAGGACTCACCTCGCAAGTAAATCAAGTAATCCTTATCCCGAACTGCCAGTCTAGTCTCCGCCTAACATATGTCACATATAACTCTAATTAATAAATGACATGAACAACCCTTAAAATGTTAGACCAAGTTTCTCTACTAAACCTCAGGAGAGTAACAAACCATTTATCCCCTCAAAAGTCCACATCTTGACCAAAACCCTAAAAGTCAAACAAAGTCAACATCCAGCGCGTATGTTGGGCATACATCCCTCTACGCTGGGCGTACAACTAGCCATGCATGCATCGGGGTGGCTTAGTGCTACGTGGCGCATAGCTGAGAGTACGCACAACATACTCCCTAGACTTCCTCTTTTCATTCTGTTGATTTTAATCCATTAAGATAGTTGCTACCACTACATATATGGGCTGAATAAGGTCCATTACTCCATAAAGTTGGTGACTTTAAGCCTTAGCAAGGCTGGACAAGTCAAAAAATCATAAACTCTAATCCTCTAATCACAAAGGTCCACATATCTCATGCATAGAGAGATCTTGATGACCAAGATCTCATTTTTATGAACCTAAACGTCTAAAAACACCTACAAGGACAGGAGCTATGCTCTGTAGTTCATCAAACTCATAAAGCTTCAGGCTTGGGACATAATGAAGGGTTTTGAGCATTCTAACACTCCTAAGGTGTACATGCAACCCTAAATACCTTGCATCTATGTTTTCTCTATTATACATGCAAACTTTCATTTTCCAAGGTATTACCCTAGCGAGCATACAAAACTTTGATACTTGGGTAATAAAGCAAGTTAGATAACATACGTTTTGTTGTAGCTTGTTGCTTGGAGCTTTAAGAGCCTAGCACCAATAATGTGAATGCCTCAAGTGGAATCACAAATCACCACTAACACTTGGATACTTGGAAGAGGACTCTCTAGCTCACAAAAGTCGGCCACACTCTTGTATATACTCTAAGTGGCAATTTCTTGAACCAAAGGGCTTCTTATATAGTGTGGTTACATTAGGGTTACACCATGTAAACCCTAATGTGCATGACTTTCCACATTCCTCATGATCCTTGGGTTTTAACCTTCATGGAGTATCCATGGGTCACCACATGGGTTAAGCCCAACAAAAGGAATCATGGATCATTACCCCACATTATAAGAATGAATGATTTACACAATCAATCCCAATATATTTAATTAGTTTTTTTATCACAA